TATCACACATTTCCAAATGCATTTTAAATACTGGCTTCATTGAGTTGCCGTGGGGTCACCAATATCCCCGGTTGTGGCAGGTATATTCATGGATAGGTGGGGCAACTCAGCGATTGAATCGTTCAACTCCACCCTAAAGGTGTGGTGGAGGTATGTAGACGACACATCCACTGTACTTAGAACACAGGATATAAATAGATTTTTCGAACACATTAACTCAAAGGTTGAGGCTGTTCAATTCACTTATGAATTGGAAATTCAGGAAGGGGAACTTCCAATGTTAGATTGTAGCGTAAAAAGGAAAGAAGATGGGAAGTTAAACACTGGTGTTTACGGGAAACCCACACATTCAAACAGATATTTGGACTTCAGATCATCCCATCCTATGTCAGTAGAAATAGGATTGGTGAAATGTTTAAGTAATAGAGCACAAAAAAACTAAGTAGTACCAAGGAAAATCTAAGACAGGAAGTGAGGCATATAAGAGAAGCTTTGAAACTTCCTGATAAATTAATCAGGAAGTATTTAGGAAAATGTAAAAATAAAATTAATAATAATAGTAGTAATGATGGTGATAATAATAATATTAGTGACGAAATGCATGACAAAGTGCAGAGAATGATGATAACACTGACAATAGGGGATTTAAATCATCAGCAGTACTTCTTTACAAAGAAGGAACCTTGGAAACCTTACGCAGAATTCTTAACAAGGCAGGAATAAATGTGGCTGGCTTCAAACCATCCACAAACTCAATTAGAAAGAAGCTTTGTCGGTTGAAGGATCCTGTGGAGCCTTATAAACAAAACAGTTAAGTTTATCTAATACCCTGCTGCAATGATTGTCAGGTCGAATACATAGGTCAAAGTAGTAGGAGGGGGTCAGTCAGATTAGCCGAGCACAAGAACCTAGCAGCGAGATCTAGATTAGTTCACACTAATAAGATAAAGTTTAGTGAAATTTTAGTGACATATAAAAAGTGAAGATGTTCAGCGAGGAGTCTTTTCGGCGAATACATTCATATAGCTTTACATTCGCATTTATATACAATTATGTTGTGTGTGTGTACATGAGGTTTGTCAAGTTTAGATAATTAATTAGGTAATACAATAATGGTCTAATATAGAAACAATGTTAATTAGATAGCAACTAAAGTAAGATTCAGTTAGCAAGTTAAATGACGTAATATAATTGACTAGAATGTTCCAACTTTGCGTTGGTGGCACAGCTGTAGAATGCTCATCGAACATGCATGTGGTTAGGGGTTCGATACCCGGCCAATGCACTCCTTCACCTCTCTAAGCCAGTAATGAGACTGGTAAATAGGGAAGGGTGGGCATGAGGCTACCAACCCCATCCCTTAAAAATAATTTATTTTATTTTTGATTACAGATTGATTCCACACCGTATTTTTTGGTACAGGTATGGAATTTCAGCATGTGATATCTGTAGACCAAATTTTACAGGCCAACCATAGATATCAGGTGTGCGTCGGCAGGGGATCGAACCCCGGTTCATGTGTATGGTCGGCGAGAGTCCTAACCATTGTGCCACCACTGCTACGGAAACTTCATGTCTCTAGCTTGAAGACCTATGTTCCACTGGTAACGTTGAGGAATAAAATAAATAAATACCTTTATTCTGACTCAATAGTAATTTTAACCTTATCACATTTCTATCTTTGTTCCGTTGAGTACCACGTAATTTACAACTTTTAATTTTCACTTATAAAGCCACTTCTGAGTAATTACATCAATTATGTCACCCCATATTAATCAATTATACACCACTATATATTTTTGAAAGTATAAATAAGACTGTACAGCCTCTGAAGATGATTTCGTAGATAAAGAAAATTTTTCTCGCTGACGAATTGTCTTTTATTTTCTTCATGATTCAATGGGTATTTTCGGTGATTCAAAATAAATAATAAAAAATAAATAAGATAAGAAATCTAGATAATAATTCAGCTATAGCACTCACTACATGCAATTACACACACACAACCATACAATAGGATGAATGGGATAGGATGACATTTTAAAATCTAGTATAACAGCTGGGTGGAGGGAGAGATTGGTAATGGAAGCTTTGTTTATCGAATCAACTGCAAACACGTGTAATAGGAATGATTCAACACCTGTCCAGCTGGACATCTGGAAAATTCTACTACCCCAACGACGACAAATAGGAGAGAACAAAGAAAACTATAAAACTGAAGTTTCGAAGTCGTGTGATTATAATTGATGAAATGATTATGAACAATAATAGATTGTGTTCGAAACCTCGTCATCCAGTAAATAATACTGTTTCACTGTGTGTGATACATCTAATAAACAAACTAATATGGAATTACTTAATACCACAGTTCCCAGGTTTTACACATATAATAATATGAGTGTAATTCATTCAACCGATTTTCAAATGGTTCCTCTGAAATGTGTAATGCGCATATTTGGTATCACTCACACAGAGCACATGTGTATGGGTATAATACAGACGGTTACTGTTAGTCGATGTTGTTGTATTCTGTGTAACTACAGACAACTGTCATGCACAGAGTCTGCCCATTTTCTCAATATATCTCGCTACAACAATAAAAGAAAATTCTCATCAGGTTCGTGTCACTGACAAACAAACTGAGCAATAGCACTAAGTAGTACAACTAAAAGCCTAAACGATGAAATGAAACAGATAGAAGATGGCGTTGGTGTTAAATAACTATCCCATAAAATTCATTAGGAAGATCAGAAAAGGTTAAAAGCAAAATAAATAAACTAATAATGATAACATAAATAACAAAGAATACAAGGCATCTACAGTTTTACCAAATAAGTAGGGGAGACATCTGAGACCCTATGCAGGATTCTTAATAACGCAGGAATTAGGGTGGTATTCAAACCTACAAACTCACTCAGGTAGGACAAGCTCTGTAGGTAGGCTAAAGGACCCTGTCGGTTGTCCCAATTAAACAAAATAATATAATTTTACAAAATACCTTACAATGACTGTGAGTTAAGTCAACTACATAGATCAGTCAAACTAGTAGATCAGGTAGGAGTAGTGAGATTATCAGAACATAAGAATTTAGCTAAAGCTAGAATGATTGATCCCACCAGCGAAGATAAGTAATTTAGAAAAAAGCTCAGCAATAGCACTGCATGCATTAACACACAACTACACAATAGGGCCGGTGGAACAGAGTCAAAATTCTGAAAGGTAATATAGGTAGGTGGAGAGCAGAGAGATTGATTACTGAATCCTACCTGGTTCATCGAGTCTACTACACCCAACACATGCAATAGAAGTGACTCAACGCAAATACCAGAGATATGGAAGATATTATTACCACCAGTCAAATCAGAGGAGGATAATAAATAATCTAAAAATTCTATTTCAATTCACGTACATCATAACATTCTAACAAGTTACTTATTTTTATTGCTAAAAAACATCTTATTTCCCATCTGATTGTATTTGATCAATAACACTCATATTATTATTTCTGAATGTACATTATCTTATACTGATTTGTATTCAAATATCTAATCGATTCCACTCATGTATATAAATGAAGAAAGAAAGTTGTGTAGTAACTTGATATGATTATGAGCAGTAATAAATTGTGCTCGAAACGTCATTAGTTAATATTACTGTATAACACTGTGTGATTTATCAAAATAAAATCTCATCTATAATGGAGTTATACTCTACCGCAGTGCCCAAGTTTTATCCTTATATAAATAAAAACATGCAACTTGAAAACTTCCATAGGACTGTTATCCCCTGTTGTTCTGGAGGATATAAACTGTCTTTAGTTGACTTTTACTGGGGAGATTGTTCAGAAGATTTGACAGAATATAGAATAATTCTTCACGTTTGATCACAGACTGATGTCAGTTAGTTAGAGTATCATTGACAGCCAGGGAGTTCCAGGTAACTGTTTCGTGTTTACTTTTGTGCTCTTCACTAGATCTCGTCAACTGGGGTTAGAAGTCAGGACCTTCTGGTTACAAGGCAAACATGTAGGCCACTCGACCACGGTTTTCAATGGATCTCTAATTGACATCATTCTGTGGTCCAATTTGGAAGAATGTGAATCCCCACAAACGAACTTTTGAAGAATAATGTAATATGGAATATTTAATGTCCATTCTTTGCAACTTGTAACTGATAGATTTTGCATGCGAATTGCAAAAAATTAGATGGAAAATTACCAAGACTAGAGTCAGTAACATAAAATTACAAACTGCATTACTCATTGTATGGGAAATTTCTAAGTCATGAAGCACTGGTTGGTAATAGCACTCTTGGTGTCAAGCTACAACAGATCACATATTTACCATCTAAGTATTGTCATTTATATCTCACACTTTCAGTTGCTGCGTCTTTTCCACCAACAGTTTTGCTTAGTACATCGTTCAGAATAATATTACCGTGTGTGCTAGTGAAGCCAGTAACCTCGATATTACTACACAGAAAATATTTCATTTGAACTATCTATCATCAGGTTAATAAAACTTTACGATTTTATGAGTTTTCATACAAAAGTGTTCCGGACATCAGAGTTTCAGTTTCATACAAATGTATTTAGAAATAAGGAATACTCTGACGAGTTTATAATTGAGTGAAAACACTCCAACAAAATGGCTAGATGTACACATTTTGGACATAAACATTTAAAGCATAATAAAGGGGAATGTAGCCGACTCCTTTCTACATACTTTCACAGCATCCCTCTCAGCAAATGGTGAAGGTATATCTGAGTAATGACTGGCGTTTAAGGAAAACCTCAGTTACAGATGACTGGAACTAATTAACTCATAATTACTAAATGTAATATATTCACCTGTAGCTGCTTATACTGTGGAAATGTTTCAATAAGTGACCTCTAGTTTAATTAAATGTAAAATATTTGACCTAGTGATGAAAACCTGTATAGAAGTTGATTAAATCGAATTAGTTCTAACAAATGATCCGTTTATTTCTTTCTTTTACAGCATGGAAAATTCAACACGTTCTCCAACTGAGATGTGAGTTCTATCATGATTGATTTCCATTGCATTAAGAATTCATACCAACTGTTCATTTTGATTCTCAGAAATTCATTTAACTTTAAAACATTTTAAGGGTGTTTGTTGTGTGAGATTCTTCCTTGAACAACGTCGCTATTCTGCAAATTACTTTGATAATCATACACTGATGACTGTACTATGTCTGGATATGTGCCAGTCTAGATTTTCAATGGGCTAATGGCTTTCCTCTTCTTCATGGGAAAGGTGATTTTCGTGTTTGTCATATGGATTTATGTTTATGCTGATTATCCACAAGGAGAAATAATCACTGTCATTGTTTGTTCTATGGATGCAACACAGTACATAAATTAAAACTTTGAAATATCATGAATATGAAAGTGTTGTTTAAATGAAATCTGCAATTGCGGTTGGTAGCCATATTTGAAATCTGTTTATTGCTACTGGTAATCATTGGGAAACTCACGGAATCCTTCTAAGTGAAGACGGGAGTAAGACAAAGCCGGCTGGCTGCCTAAAATCTCCAATGATTTTCCTGATTGCGGTAGACTGGATAATGCGACAGACAGCGGTCAACGAGAAGACAAGCATAAAATGGACCCACACAAAATACTTGGAGGATCTGGATTTCACCGACAATATGTGCCTGATTTCACATAAAATAGAAGATATGCAAATGAAAAGCAACAAGTTGGAAAGAAGCATCAAAGATAGAACTTCAAGTGAACAAAGAGAAGACAGAGGTGACGAAGATTCCTGGCCGACAGCAACAACAACAGGCGACAATCAGCATAAATGGGAAGAATCTGAAAGAAGCAACCTCCTTTACCTATCTGCGAAGCACCGTTTCAACTACAGGCGGACGAACTGATGAGGATATCAAAGTGAGGATCGGGAAAACAAGGCAAGTCTGTGTGGAAATCAACAGCACTCAGCATGAAAAGTAAGATCCGGATTTTCAACTCCAATGTGAAGTCAGTGCTTTTTTATGGATCAGAGACTTGGCGCGTCATGAAGAGCACTTCAAACAAACTACAGACTTTCATCAATAACTGTCTTCGCTGAATACTCAAGATCAGATGGCCAGAAATGATCGGCAACAGTAATAGATCTCTGGCAATGAGTGAACCAACCAGGGACCAACTGTGCAACAAATATGCAGGAAGAAATGGAGGTCGATTGGCCATACTCTGAGAAAACCAACCATCAAGTGACATCACACGCCAGGCTCTCTCTTTCTCGAGTGGAACCCGAATGGGAAGCGGCGAGTTGGTCATCAGTGTGAGTGTGACATGGAGTGGAGGAGGTGATGTGAAGAGGAGATGAAAGCATGTGGGCAGACGTGGAGCCAGGTGAAAACGTTGGCAGAGGACCGAACGTAATGGAGACGTGTGGATAAAGCCCTATTTTCCTCTAGGAACCAAAGGAGATAATAGTAATAATACTGCTAACAATTAATGTGTAACCTATAAGACAGTTAAATCGCTTCCACTGTGTTAGCATAATTAACTTTATCGCTTTTAATTTCACTTTTACAATGTTGACTTTCACACTCTTTTCTTTTTCAGTGATGAATTCACCAAAGAAGTGATACAGAGTCTTTCTAATCCATATTACAGCTTGAATAACAAAAATGATGGTGAAAAGGTTAGTCAGATTTCAACACTCGATAATTTTCACTGTTCTTCAACATACTGATTGTAAAATACAGTGTACATGTGTTAGAAAATAAAATTTAGTATGAATGTGTTGATACGTACAAATATGTGTTCATAAGGGGGGTACTCGTGACCAGTGAAATCCACGAAGTCAGGTAAGAGTACAGTAACTCGCATATAACATTGACTGACGATTGCAATATATATACACACCACGAATTGGTAGAAGTTGGAATTCATGGGCTGGTCGTCATGTCGGGATCCAGTGGCTAAATGGTTATGAAGTTGCTCTGTAACCTGAAGGTCCTGGGTTCGAACCCCAGTAAGTGCGTACAGATGTGGGTGAGCATCCCTAAAGAGTCTCAAACTTGTACGGAACAGCTGTCCCTATTGGTGTTTCAGTGGTTCTGAGACTGATAAACTGCAGATCTGTGCAGAAATGATTCATCTTTTAACCAGCTACATAAATGCCATGACACAGAGAAACACAAATTAATTGACATCACAGCAAGTGACGCTACTTCTTTGTGGTCCAAATAATTTAGGTCCACTAATATAGGAGCTGTTCAACATGAACTGTTGCTAGATTTTGAACTTTTCACTGTGGGATACAATCATGCTGTTTTGGTAACACCAAGTGGAGTTTGTTTTAGACATTTACAGTTGAAAATGGCAACTACATAGTACCTCCCTAAAACTCGTATATTTTGATTAGTCGCACTAATTTTAAGTTGTTTGAAAACTGTTTCACACCAGTCAAATGCAACTATGATTAAGTATTCTAATATTGGAAATCAAAGTTAAATTTTAAACGAATTTCCGTAAATCTGCTCAACCCACACTGGAGAGTGTACAAATCAAATGAAGTGAGAAGTGATTTAATGCAAATGTTTGTTCGAGCGACAAAATGACAAGGTAACTTCAATTCACCTCTTTGTAATGATTATACATATGAGTGCCTACAATGAGTTGTGTTGGAAAAGTGATCCACTTATTAATAATAATGTATCCCTGTATGTTATTTCAGATAAACATAACTGATATGAGATCATACTTAAGTACCACAGTGCCTGAACAAAATATTCTTCTCACAATAAGTTCGATTTATTTATGCAAATAATTATAAGCTACTTAATTACATAGATAGTAGCTATTGTCAATTTGAGTCATTATTTTTGATTCCCTATGAATTAATAAAACTCATTCCGCTATCAAATATCTTATCCTTAGAAGTCGTCAAAGATAACTTTACAATGTAGTTGATCGCCTGGAGTGTTTGTGGAAAAGGAACATTTTAATGTCCTCTGAATGGTGCAAAAGATTTGTTGATGTACAGTCACACGGAAGATGGGAAGTATCTTACATTTAGAAATCTTGGTAATAGCAGAAGGTGAACCGGTTGTATACTTGAGTCCTGAATGGACAAATTACACTTCATCCTCATCAAATTAGTCCAGAGATCTTGGTGGTTTTTGTGAGGTAGTTGGAGGCATTCAGCAGGAAGTCTTGGACCTAGGTTTCGTGCTTGTCAGATGATTGAATTCTGTCCGCGCGAAACGAAGAATGAGACACATGACACTATTTACTGCCTAGTGTCCAAACAAAGCATCCATTAAAGTCTCACAGAAGATCAATCACGATAATGAATAGCTCAATAGTAGTAATGTCTTTGATTGAAGCAGTGGGTGACTGTAGTTTTATACCCTAACGATCCAAACTGCACCATGATAGCAAGCCAACTAGCATGGTGACCACATTGCAAACTTAACTGATAGAATTCAGTTTGCATGAAACGAAGAACAGGACAGAGGAAATTAGCCAGTGCCTGGTGTTTAATCAGATATCTTATAGTTATAGTTTTGATAGCATTATTAGAAGAAGGAGATTATCTGAAAAATGTGATGTATTTGCGCTATACATTTCGAACAATCTGATCACACATTTACTTGTCAAGTCAATATATATGGAAAGGTTAAATTAAACAAGGTGACAAAAAAAGAATTAAGAATAATTAACACAAACGTTTGGTAATCCAATCAAATAAGGATTACCAAGGTAGGTTAAGGGTAATAACAAACTGTTTTTGAATACACAAGGGGGGCTTAAGTTTATGAATGGCTATAGCCTCAGCGTATTTCAGTAAACGTCCTTGAACGTTTTTATAGATGACCTTAAAGGCTGAGTTGACATCAACCTTATGGTTGACTTCTACACCTGTTCAAAAATTTCAAAGGATATCCGTTTTCAACAAGAGTATCCATCAATATTTCGTTTTCTTTGTCTATAACATCAGCCGTGCAAATACGCTGAATCCTCTTAAATAGACACTTCACCAAGCCTCTATTATACTGTAATGGACAGAAGCTGTGAAAATTAAGGTATTGCCCTGTCCAAGTGAGCTTTCTGTAGATTGAACGTCTTATTGAGCCATCGTCTCTTCGACTCAGAAGTATGTCTAAAAATGCGAGCTGGTTGCGACTTTCTTCCTCGCATGTAAGACTAATATGATTCTGTACAGAGTTAAGTCTGTCCAATAGACGACTCGCATCTTCATGATCGTCGCATATCAAAATGATATCGTCTACATATCTCTTATAGAAAGGCAATTTAGAAATTAAATCAGAAGATAAGTTTTCAACATAAGACATGTAAACGTCCGCTAATAAAGGTCCTAATGGACTTTCCATAGCAACGCCATCCACTTGTCTAAAATGTTCACCTTCAAACGTGAAATGGACGTTGTCAGTACATAATAGTAATAAATCTTTCAAATAAGTTAAAGGAAAAGGAAATGAAAAACAACTAGAAGATATATAGTCACAAAGAATATCAACAGTCTTAACCAGTGGTACATTAGTAAACAAAGAATTAACATCAAATGAATACATTTTCCTATCTTTTATGTTCATATCTACAAGACAGTCAACAAGTTCAAATGTATCTTTTAAAGTAAACTTACATAATTAATTGCGTACTGGACTTAATATATCAGCTAACCATTTTGCTAATTTATGTGTAGGAGAGTTACACATAGTTATAGTTATTGTGTGGATGTGCATCAGAACTGAATAAATAGTATTAGTGGACGATAATTATACATACTCACAACATACTTACAAGTGAAACCTGAATACATGCGCCTTCATTTCATTACTGTAGAGATTTTTGTATATTCTTCCTCGAAATATGTTTTTCATAACTGTAAACATAAACATAACACATCTCATTTCCTTTACAGATACTGAGTACAGAGGCTGATTGGCTACAGTTACCACAGAATCATCCACTCAAACGTGAATTGTACAATTTGCTAACTACCTCGAAGCGAAATTTGAAATGGCTTGACACTCACCTTCACACAATTCTACAATGGTTGAAAGAAAATATTCCTCATACAGCACAAGAGGTCTAGAAATGTTACTCAGTGTGGAGAAAATCGTCTCTGATTCCTACTTGACCTATATAACGTGAATCAAATTCGGCTGTTTTATTTAATGCCCATGATATTCTCTGTTGACTAATTTTTCATTTGAGTTCTAGGAGTCTTTATTTTCACATATTTCACTAGTGATATTTCCCTGTGAACGCTGTAACAATTCAAAAGCTTTAATTCATGTGTTTCTCCTGATTAAATATTCGAGGTGCAATTCCTTTTCTGTGTTGTGTTAGCTAACAGATACCCAGTTGGATAATAATTGAATTTGAGTTTTATGGGGAGAGGAATGCTCACTCTTGTAAGTCACTTGTAAATGAAATGCTTGAAAACTGTCCTAACCTGGTCTTTTCGGTTATGTATTGTAAAAAATAGAGGTGTGGTGTAAGGTCAGCAGTAGGAATACGTGTTATTGCAGAAAGATGAGGTGCAGCCTGTATGAGAGATAATATTCAAAATACTAACCGAGGGTTTAAAGGTTAATTTTATACAAAAGGAGTTAAAGAAACGGTTGTTTTTACAAAATGTATAAAAATAATTATATTAAATTATGATTGTGAACAAATAAGAACGAATTCCTTGAAATATCTTTCGTAGAAGGTATGTTTCGTCAAGTGGAAAGGGAGAAAAGTGGTGGGAGTAAATGTGGTTTTTGGTCGTCCTAGTACGTCTTAGCGTTAGGCTAACTACCAGTTATTTTCTCAAAATTCTTCAAATTACGTTGAAAGATTGCTCATTATCACCCAGATGTTTAGTGTCCCCTAGATGAAATGAGATTACATTGTTCGTAGATTTAGAATTTTTACAGCGTGATATGAAATTGTACAATGTAATTTAATCGAAATCATGTGTAACTTCCTGGGAGAAGAAACAGTTAAGACGTCACTTCAAGAGAACTTAGAGAAGACGGAGGTGATGCAGATAATCGAACAGCAATGACAAGCACCAGTCACCATCAAAGGGGAAAGTTTGAAGGGAGTCACATCTTTGACTAATCTAAGCAGTAGCTTTTCAAGTATACGCAGCACACATGGGTACTTTCAAAGTCAGACACGATGCGATAAGCAAGTTAGACATTCGTTGATCTGAAATCAGTGTGGATATCGGCTGGATTCATCATGAAGAATAAGATTTCAACACCAAATTCTAGTTCTGTATGGTTTATTGACTCAGCGCGTCAGCAGAAACACTTCCAACATTTATGAACAACTGCCAAGTACTGAAGATTAGATGGCAAGACGCTGAGAATTAGCAACGACAAGCTCTAGGAACGAATCAGTCAAGAACCTATTGCTCAGCAAATAGGCGGAAGAAAATGGAGGTGAATCGAACACACGTTGGGTAGACTGTTGAGTGACATCATACACCAAACACGCCATCGCTTGAGTGCCACTCGAATGAGAAACGACATGTTTGGAGTCAAGCTGAAGATGATATAGAGGAGAACGTATGAGGAGGAGATGACAACCCAGCTTACAGGGACTGTAAGGAACAGGATAAAATGAAGATATGTGCTGATGAAACCCCATGTTTTATTCGGAACCTTAGGGATTAATGATATATGTAACTTCCAATGAAATTGCAAGGTTGAATACTGTTCAGCAAAAGGCTGTGAAACATACGGGTAAAAGTTAAGAGGTAATGTCAATGGTAAATAAAATGTGCTGAACTGCTTGCCAGAGAAGAAAAAGCGAAAACACTTTGGTACTTAGATTCATAATCTTGTGTGTTCTATTTGAGCACCTGTCTTTCCTCTCTCTGTATAATATATATATATATAAAATTGAAATTAGAAATTTAGCTGATATAGCATACAAGATTGATGTACTACACAACAGGTGAAAGGATTATGAATTTAGAGCTATAGTAGTAATGTGGTTGTGTGATACAGACAATAATGGGTTTCAACGGAATATTATTCTCACAGCATAAGAATCATTGTATTTGTTGGTGTTAACGTCTGAATACTGTTTCCACATTTGAGTACTGCATTAGCAACAGAATACCATATATGTATATTTGAACATTCTATTTCATGTCGTTTAATGTAGTAAACCAAAATCATGCGCTTAATGATTGGCTAAAGAATATAAACTGTATAGATTTAATGGAAAATAGAGGTTTGATCACTTGAAACTATACCTTGGCCTCTGTGTCTTGCTTTCTGCTGTTACACTAAAAGCATTTTAATAAAATGTTTGAAATTTCAAAGTAAAACATAGTATTGGACCTTTCAGTCAGCTTTTCCTAACTTTATGTGGTAAAATGAGGGAATTATGTATTGGATTTTTACGACTAGAACGATTTATGAGTTAGAGAATTGCGTCATTGATTTGTCTGCATTCTTCTCACAGCAATCGTACAGAAGATGTCCACAAACATATTTGAATAACGTTTATGAGTCCAGTGTGTCTCCTTACCTCCGTTGAAAAAAATGTATGACTACTACATACACACAGACATTTCCGACAACAGAACTCTGACCTTGATGTATTCAAGAAAACATTAGGCTTTCAGAAAGTAGGATGCAAGGAGAAAGCAATAAGCGTTTCAGAACTGCTCATAATTATAGGGTCCTACAATTTCCAACTATGTCTCATCTTTGAATTTAAGTCTTATGGCCAACATTATAGACCGTAATTTCAAGTTATGTATATGACTAAGTACTTGATACGCACGGAAATATCTTGATACCTGCCTGAAGAGGCGCTTTACTGTATCACTGATACTACCGAATCCCCTAATTAACTATTTTCCACACACTGTTTTGTATACTAAACTTGTGTGCCACCCATGTTCTTTTCATCGTTAAACTGATATTTTCGGAATAGTTATCTGTATTTATGGGTACTATGAATCTCTTCGTCTTGCATATAACATTCCTGTTTCTACACCTTCATCATATTACTAACCATTTTGAAGTTTGTTTATCTGCTAATTTGTTTTTATATTACGCCAGACTATTTCTTCAGGTTCCACAATTATTCGTCTCGTGAAGTTAAAGTAGCATAACTAAAGTCAAGGTCTTTCAAAAGTTGACCTCAAAGAACCGATCAGATAGATGCAGGCAATGCTATGAAATGTCATTCTAAATCAGATAATGTCTCCTTGTTTTAAGAACCTGGGGAGGGTAGATACAGTATTCCACTTATTTACTAGGTACTTTATCTGCAGATCTATACTGTTAGGTAGGGTCACGGCTTTTTAGATTAAGGTTTAGGGTTATGGTCAGAGTCAGAAGTATGTTGAAGAATAGTGTCAGAAATATCAATGGATCTAAAAGTACCATGACTTATGGTCACTTGGATGAACGCATATATCTCGCAAGGTACGATTTCTCTACAGATCATCTGTGAAATGATTGGAAGACATTCTTATACCACATAAGCTGCAACTCCACAGAGTAAAGTCATGTTTGCAATATTAATATATGTGTAAAACTTGGGCACTGTGGTAGTAAGTAATTCCATATTTGTTTGTTTATTAGGTATATCACAGAGTGAAACAGTATTATTATTTACTGGATGACGTTTCGAACAAAATTTATTGTTCATAATCATATCAATTGTGATCACACGACTTTGACACTTGAGTTTCATAGCTTTCTTTGTTTTCTCCAATTTGTCGTAGGGGGAGTAGAATTTTCCAGAAATCGGGGACAGGTGATGAATCATTCCTATTACATGTATTTGCAGTTGATTCGATAAACAAAGCTTCCGTTATCAATCTCTCCCTCCACCCTGCTGTTATATTAGATTTTAAAACTGTCATCTTATCCCATCCTATTGTATGGTTGTGTGTGACTGCATGTAGTGCTATAGCTGAACTATTCTCTAGATTTCTTATCTTATTCCGGTCAACTAATCTAGATTTTGCTAAGTTTTTATGTTCAGCTAGTCTGACTGCCCCTGTTCTACTAGTTTGACCTATGTATTTGACCCGACAATCATCGGAGGCAGGGTATTAGATAAACTGAATTGTTTTGTTTCAAAGGCTCCACATGATCCTTTAGCCGACAAAGCTTGTTTCTAATTAAGTTTGTGGGTTTGAACGCCGTTTTTATTCCTGCCTTGTTGAGAATTCTGCGTACAGCTTCTGAGGTTCCTTCCTTCCTCCTCAGAAGCCACTGTCATCGGAGGGAAATCCATTCTCACGCTTGATTGGATAGACCTCAGTGGTCACGACGTCTCACCAGAACTCCAGGAAACTGTGTCCTGATATGATGGTTTAACTCCGCCATTCGTCTTCCTTTTCTGATATGCAGTGAAGCACATTTTGTTAAGCCTTGTCGTTATTCCTTAATCTCCATCCACATTTTTCATACCGACTTAGGAATTCTATTTAAGGGTAAAATTTTAAGAATTTTTCTGATTTATTTATGTCCAAACCAAGTTCACTTTTAACAGTTTGAAAGCATTTGGGCATTGGGTATATGATATTTATTATAATAAAGTCTGTTTTTTGTATTTCTCAATGAATGAATGAAAAACAAAACGATATTGTTGTTTTTACTGACGTTTCGCTATTTAATGCTGCTAATAGCTTTATCAAAGTAGTATTATTAAACCAGAATTTACAAAATCTCAGCTTGTATATAACAACTTAAACACCGTTTCTCAGCATGGGGTTATTTTTCCGTTGTCGAATTAGCCAATCGGCAAAGTAATGGTAAAGAATGATGGACTAAAACAGAATCTGACCTGGTTACAACACCTCCCCCTATAAAGTGACAAAATCAACACAAATGTGATAAGCAATTTCACTGTGTAAACACAAATATGTTGCTTTTATAATTTTATACACTTATCAAATCCAACAATTTAATAATGTGAAATATTCACATATCATGAATTAAAAGTCAATCTGAACGAAGAGTATTCTTTTCAATAATTTCTCCTCTTCAGGTTCTTACAATTATAAAATATAATACTTATTGTCGTTAATTGTAAGAACCTGAAGAGAAATTATTGAAAAGAATATTCTTCGTTCAGGCTGACTTTTAAATCCAACTATCTTCACCTGGTTCTGTTA